ATTTTTTACTATATTAAGGAAAAATTACCAAAATGTTTTTTAAAAAACTGTTTCCCCTATATTAAATAATAAAACATTTATTATTACCCAATTTATTGGTAAAATACAAAAGACGGGGTCACGTCAGGTAAAAAGACACCAAACATGTCAAGCCTAAAAATTGCGTGCAGGCGCGAAACCTCAAAAAACTATAATACCCTAAATTGGCCATAGGCGACGCTTTAAAAGCTTTTACCGCTCATCAGTTTAGTGTTTTCAGTGATTGATGGCCCTAAAATGATTGCTCTCACTGCAGCGTTCGCGGCGATATGTGTAGCGCAATTGTCGTTTTTGCGTGCTGGTGCACCGGATGCGTATTTACGTTTATATGTGCGTAAACGTGGGGTGGGGGACTTAAGAATTTTTTCTGGTTTTTTTAGACATTTTTGTTTGTGACTTATTTTTTTTTAACTCTTTTTATGTTTGTTTTTTTTTACACTTAATGTTATTGCTATTACATAGGGGGATAAGAATCCCCCTATATAATAGCAAAGGCACACTGACAGGTCGTCTTTATGGAGACATTAGGGGTCTCTAGGACCCCTAATGTCACCTGGGGACCCCAAAAGAAGCTGATGAAGCAGAGATCTGCTTCATCAGCTTCTTCTCTCTGGCAATAGCAGCCAGATGACTGACAGGTGAATGCGGACGTGTTGTATTTACACATTACTTCCGCATTCACAGCACGGAGGGAGATCAGCAAGGAGGAAGATGCTTAGTGCACAAGCTGAGATCTATGGGCATAGATGAAATGGTGTGTACATCAGGGGTCTCAAACTCAATTCACTCGGGGCCACTCGACAAATTTTTTTTCTCTCATGGGGGCCGCTTGCCAAATTTCATACTTTAAAATTTAACCATATCCGGTTTGGTACTAGAGACACTAATATACACATGCAAGAAGGCCCCATTCATATCTGTAGGTTTAGGTGCGATTAGGGATTCCTGCATCAGAAACTTGCGTCTTCCTGCAGCAGGAATCCCTAATCTGGTGTTTACAAGCGGCAGCTGTCACCCATTCAAGTTAATGATCAGGGGACAGTAAGCTACATGTAACCGCCTGCACACCGCATGTAATAGTATGTGATATTATTACATGCGTTTCAGTGGCGGACCTAACTCCCTGTCACCTCTGCCATGCCGCCCCTGGTACAGCCGATACCCATGTAAGGGGCCCCCCAGACCACTCACATGGGTACCGGCCATAACCCCCTGATGGCGGTGTTCTATCAAAGTTTGTGATTACGTTAGAATGTGGGACCAGTCACGTAGTCACACATTTTAACGCAATCCCACCCAGTTTTTCAGCTGTGGAATGTGTGACCGTCAATAGGTCAAGCATTCCAACGCTTTCTCAGCTGTTCCAGGGCAGATCGGCATTGCAAATCGCATGTGCAGGAGAGCCGATCTGCCCTGGAACAGCTTAAGGAAGCAGAAAAAGGAACTCCCAAGGGATAAAAAAAATCTCCTGGAATCCCCAAGACACTCGTAGGTTATTCAGACCTTGAGCCGATTGAGAACAAAAGCTGGAAAAACGCATACAATAAAAAGCAGCACTCCACCAAAGAGCATCTAAACAAAAAGTTTTGTGCATATCTCATTCTGGCACTCTAATATTCCCTGTGCTCCAAGAAGCTCTTTATACCAGCACTGTTATCTATGTCAGTGATCCAACGATGGACTGTGTCCTAGCAGGAGGAGCTGTAGAAGAAATGATACTCAGAGAGCACTCCTTGAAATAAAGAAGGACATCTAAAAATGAAGAATGGAAAGTGAAATTAGATTCGCAAACCAGACTCTTGAGACTGCAGTATGTTTTCAGTAAATACAAATATTGCATTGTAAAATTGACCTGTAAGTAATTTCTGCTGTGACTGTCACTTCTGGCTAAGGGCTAGTTCACACCAGAACTGCATCAGAACCACATGTGTCTGCACACTTGCGGTGCGATTCATTTTGCTGTCATTTTACTGCGATTGATGCGTTTTATTGTTGTGGGGGGGGGGGCTTTTTTGTTGTTGCTTAAAATGGGATTTCAGGTGCATTGCATTTGCATGTGTTTTTGATGCGTTCCTTCGCTATCCGATGCAGCTAAAATATGGCAAGCAGTACTTTTTCTGGCTGCATCAGAAAGGACTGCTCTGGTGTGAACAGAGCATGAGAATCCCATGGGAAAGCATTGTGGTCCGTTTTTGATCCAGCTCAAAAAACGGAACGGACTGCATCTGTGCTGAACTAGCCCTAGTTCCGATGCAGCCAGATAAAGTACTGCTTGCCCTATTTTAGCTGCATTTTAGACCCACCCCATGTCCCAGCAATGACTGCTGGCATGCTCATTTCAGCACCCTGTACCTGGTATATTACTGGCACAACTACAGAAGAGTTGTGAAAACCTAGCCCCACTCTCTGTTTTTGGTTATGCGATGATAATGTCGTATGAATTAAAGCTTGAAGGTAAGTCTGGGATAGGCTTCTCTTGAGTCAGGTTACATGTACTATGATGTGTGATGGTAAGGGGGTCACAGTAAGCCAGTTGTTTGAGGTTTGAGGTTTGAGGTGAGGGTCTTTATGGAGTGAAGCTTGTCCTATACTGCAGCCAGCAGGGATAATATGGCAGCACTCATATCTTTCATGAAATTGAAATGGGGGCTGAGAAAGGGTCCGCAAAAGTATTTTAACAGGCAAGGCCGCATAAGCATAGGAGCAGGTGGAGCTCCCGGTCCGGGCCTGCATCTGCAAATAGGCCCGGCTCACTCTACACGACCAGAATCGCAGCTGGCCCGACTGCAATCGCAGAAGGCCCATTGGCAATCCGGGCCGACTGCAACCCTCTGATATACCTGAGCAGAGAGCCACATCTGCTGTGGCCACAGCCACCAGTTTCACTGACCACCTGCAGCCCGCACTGACCACCTGGAGCCCACACTTATCATGTAGAGCCTGAACTGACCACCTGAGAGCCCGTACTGACTGCCTGGAGCCCATACTGACCATCTGGAGCCCGCATTGACCACCTGAGAGCCCTCACTGGCCACCTGGAGCCCGCACTGGTCACCTGGAGCCCACACTGACTACCTGGAGCATACACTGACCACCTGGAGCCTGCACTGACCACCTGGAGCCCGCACTGACCACCTGAGAGCACATACTGATCACCTGGAGCCCGCAGTGACAGCCTGAGAGCCCACACTGACAGCCAGAGAGCCCTGCCCTGTCTGCTTGATAGTCCGCGCTGGCCCCCTAAACCACACACAGGTCTCCTGAGACCCTGGAGACATCAGACTGCGAACTCGGAGCAACACAGAGTATATAGCTTCATATTATTGTGCATTGCTGTATAATGTATTGCTGGGATTTGTAGTCCTCTAGAGCTGATAGTATTATTCTGCAGTGCTTTACATTGTATTGCTGGGATTTGTAGTCCTCTACAGCTGGTGCCATTCTGCATTGCTTTATAATGTATTACTTGGATTTGTAGTCCTCTATAGTTGGTGGTATTCTGCATTCCTGTATAATGTATTGCTAAGATTTGTGGTGCCTCTACAAGTTGAAGTCAGTGGCAAATCTACCAGAGTCACAGCTGAAACTGGGCCCTGGTGCTCCACCACTGACTCCAAGCTGTAGAGGAACTACAAATTACAGCCCAGGCAGGAGGAAGAGGGCCCCGATGACCATCACCTGGGGGGGTGATATTAGGTCTGAAAAGTAGATTAAAGGGAGCTGATCTAGGTTCTAAAGAGGGGCTGATGGAAGGTCTGAAAAGGAGAGTATGGCTACATTCACACCTACAATGTTGGTCTGTTTAGTGATTCCAGCATCAGGAACTTGCAATTTCATGCTGCAGGAATCCAAAATCTGCCGTTTACAAGGTGACGGATTTGAAAGCGGCAGAACGCTGGCACACTGCATGTAATTATATGTAATACATGCAGTTAGGAATTAATCACTAATCCTGGATGCACGATTGATGGCAAAACAGAAAAAATAAGTTTTAGGCTAACATAGTTAGCCGTATTTGTGGGAGGAGTCTGCGCCTCCTCCATCCTCTTAAAAGCCACTCACACAGGCTTCCTTAGTACGCAGGGATCTGACGGAGCAGCGCTGACGTCTTCACTGCAGCGTCACTTCCGGTGTGACGGTTTTCTCACGGCATTTCCGGCTTCGCGGGCTCGGTGCAGGAGCATCTCGGCTCTTGCTCTCTTCAGCGCAGTACTTTGGGCCAGGCCATAGGGCCATACAGGTACATAGGGGAGGAATGTTGTGGGGGGGGGCAAGCGCCAGGAGGCAGGGGCATCACGGCGTGGAGACCAACCACTCGCGGGCACAATGCACCTTGGGGGAGCACAAACATGCTCCACAGGCCCAAGACAGGTTACATGCCGTGGCCCATTCATCGGTTGATCAGCTCGTGGGGGGGGTGGCGGGTGG